CCGCGATAGACGGTGCTGACGGTGATACCGGTGTTAAGCCGCAACACCGGTTACACAGACAAGACAATCGCGGATGATTTAGTTTCGAAACGAGATGCAAAAGCACCTGTTTGGCAATATTTTGGATTTTGAAAAGCTTGTTGACTTTTGTCGTTTATCTAAGGAGATTTTGGAAGATTTTTTAAACATTCGTTTCTTATTTAATTGGTTCCACATTGTTTGCTGATTTTTACTTTATTTAAACTTTGTGTCATTTATTTATTTTATTTGACATTCGTTTTGCTTTTAAACATTCGTTTCTTATTTAATTGGTTCCACATTGTTTGCTGATTTTTACTTTATTTAAACTTTGTGTCATTTATTTATTTATTTTTTACATCAAGGTGTATGCCGTGCCTCCAAGCTTTCTTACTAATTTTGCTAATAAACGTTGTACGTTTCTTTTTTATTTGGTTATATATTATACATGTTTACCTATTTCCAGTTTTGTATGCCTATTTAAACTTTGTTATTTATGTTAAGTTATTTGTTATTTTATATTAGGCATAGCCTGCCCTATAGCATGGTGTCTTTTTATTTGTTTTGTTAATAAAAGTTCTATGTTTTATATATACGCTAAAGTGAATTTGACGTTGTATTTGGTTGTTGCATTCAAGCAATTGACGCCAAACTGCCGCTAATTCGAAGCTGTTAAGCTATTGAAAAGCGAAGGAAAGCGAGGAAAAGAGGAGAAATTCAAACAAACTAAAAACGAACAATTGCTTTACGCCGAATTGCCGCTATTTGAAAGTGAAAGTAAAATGCGCACGCAGCTTTTACAAGCTATTTAAAAGTGAAGGAAAGCGAGGAAAAGAGGGAACGCCTCCACGGTGATAACGGTATTACTGGTGTTGTCACACGTCGATTAGCCGGTGGGAAAATGTCCTCACCGTCACAACCCTATTTATAACCTAGATCAGGGATTCCCAAACTAGGGTTCATGAGTTGATGGAAAGCTAATAATTAATTGAATAAAAAAATGAAAACAAAACACTTAATACATTTAAAATAAAATGCTTATTTAAAAAAGTTGTTTACATGCATGACATTCATTAATTAATTAATATTATGTCAAATGGTTTCAGATGACAAAAAAACTTAAACCCCTAAGAATAAAATAAATAAAAATTAAAAACCAAGAATAAAATAAATAAAATTTCGGTCAAAATTTTTCGTATAACAAAATAGTTTGTGAACCCCATCACCAGATAACTGGTAGTTTTAACATTACACTTCAGCTGATGAAAAGCTTTGCAAAAAATATTTGAGATTTGAATAAAATTTTGTTCCACCTCTGAAATTATTTGATTTTTTGCTAGTTATGTTAACCAATAGTCAAATAGTTTAGTCAATGCTGAAGTTTAAGCTGCTGTTGTAGATAATGCAGCCTTTCTGAAATCTTACCAACAGCTGACAATTAATTTAATTAATTTAGTAATTTAATGCCATTTCATGTAATAAAAGTTACAGCAATAATAGCAAATAACAATAGATTTGAAAAGGATAATGGCTGTTCCAGGTATTCAGCATCGTTGTATTTATTAACCTATCAGTTTTCCTTTTTCCTAGTGTATATCACCTGGAATAGTGGAAACTGAATTTGCCTTCCGGCATCACAACAGTGATCCAGAGAGAGCCGCGGCTGTTTATGAAAGTATAAAGGTAAACAGATGGCGTGTGTGACGTGTCTCTACATAAGAGTCCTGCTGTTTAACTGCATCATTAACTGTTTTCTGCAGTGTTTGAAAGCAGAAGACATCGCCAGTGCCGTCACATACGTCCTGAGCGCGCCTGCTCATGTTCAGGTGAGACCAAAATAAACGCATACACTACCAGAAAGACACGTTTCTTGAGCAGATCAGCATATTAGAATGATTTCTGAAGGATCATGTGACACTGAAGACTGGAGTAATGATGCTGAAAATTCAACTTTGCATCACAGGAATAAATTACATTTTAACAGATATTAGAGTAGAAAACACTTATTTTAACTTGTAATAATATGTTGTTGAATTGCATTTGCAAATTGTGGACCCATGATTTGTCTGGGTGTTTTTTGGGACAGAAGCTCTTGATTCCTTTTTTATTTTATAACAATATCAAGTTGAAATTCATTTATCAGGTTAATTGACTACAAAGTTTTTCCAACTTTCTCTTCAAAACCTGAAAAATGTCAATATCAGTCATTTATTAAATAGCAAACATGTCAAACAAGTATAATTCACACCAGCACATTGTTTATTTTGTACCAAAACCATGTGTAGTTTGAAATGTTTTCAGACGGACAGAACAGCTTTAACTTTATAGGAATAGTTCATCCAAACATTTTAATTTGCTGAAAATGTGCTCACCCATTAGGCCATACAAGATTAGGATGAGTTTGTTTCTTCATCCGATTTGGAGAAATGTAGCATTTTCTCAGCAATGGATGCTCTGCAGTGAATGGGTGCCGTCAGAATGAGAGTCCAAACAGCTGATAAAAACATCACAATAATCCACAAGTAATCCACACCAATCAGTTAACATCTGGAGAAGACAAAAGCTGCGAGTTTGAGAGAAACAAATCTATCATTAAGGCATTTTTAGCTTTAAACCATAGTTTCTGGCTAAAATATGAGTCCATAATAGCGTTTCCTCCGGTGAAACAGTCCAACCTCTGTTGTCTCTCACATCAAAATCCACCCACATATTTGTTTAGAGTCGTTTTCACTTGTAAACGGTGCTTGATCTGTGCAGATTTCTCTTCTGATTCAGACCAGACCACTTTTCACTGGAGGAAGCGTTATTATGGATTATAGACTCGTATTTTAGCTGGAAATTTAAGTTAAAAATGCCTTAATGGTAGATTTGTTTGTTACAAACACAGCTTTTGGCTTCTCAAGATGCTAACTGATGTACTGGAGTGGTGTGGATTACTTGTGGATTATTGTGATGTTTTTATCAGCTGTTTGGACTCTCATTCTGACGGCACCCATTCACTGCAGAGCATCCATTGCTGAGACACTGATGCAAACTCATCTACATCTTGGATGACCTGAGGGTGAGGACATTTTCAAGTAGTCATAAACGGTGTGAAGGATCCAGCTTTATGCTTATGATCTGTTAAGATGTCGACTAATATCCTGTACGATCGTTCACTAGGATCTTTGTGCTGATCTTCAGACAGCGGGGAGACAGACAAATCAAATCACAGCACCATCACACTCATCACCTGCTGATCGATCTGTATTAAATCTGTCAAACTCTCTCTCTCTCTCTCTCTCTCTCTCTCTCTCTCTCTCTCTGTAGATCGGTGATGTGCAGATGCGGCCGGTGGAGCAAGTGTCGTAGGAACGGATCGGATTGGGAACGGGATGACATGCAGTGGGCCGACACAAGTGGTGACTGGCGACACCTACTGGGCAAAAACACGTATAACACCTAGTTTTAAAGAACTGATTGAAGGGAATTGGTTTGGGTTTGCAGATCGGATCAAATCTGAGAAGGCAGCGCTGTGTGGCTCGATCTGACGCGACGCTCGGAAGTGTCAGAGAGCGAGATTACCTCCGTTTAAATTCACAGATGTACACAGTCTGCTGCTGTCTCAAATATAAGGGGAAACTTTCAGGCTTTTCTAAAAACACACAATGAACGAGGATTTAATGTGTGTTACTGTCTGATCCGGTCATCTGAGACCAGTGCGCCATGAATTGCACATCATTTTGTTTTTGTTTTTTTAGGTCATATTACATATCTGTTTGAGAGTGTGACGAATAGAAACAGTCGCTCGGTGCCAGTTGAGGTGATGTTAATTGCTGTATATGCATATTTTGTTTAACGAGTATTCTAACTTGAATTGTATGTAGATGTGGTTCTCATAGCGATCCAGCTACTGTTCGTTTGAAGCGCGTGGTTTTCATGAGAGAGAAACCCGTTCGACTGCAGTCACACTCCGAATCAGAAACCTGATGATAAATGTTGGTTTTTACATTGAGCTTTCACTGAATGAAAGGTAGGACACTGGCTTCTTTCATAGGAAAACGAGTATGTTGAGGACTTATAATACTTGATGTAGTCTGTTCTTACTGATTAAACTTGATTATGATTATTGGTTATGGATAAATTCCTTTCATTTTCACTGTATGTCACCTCTACATCTCAAAACAATCTAAAACGTCTTTTTTTCTGTGTGTGTGTGTTTCTTTTCTATTAAAATCTTTATGTTGTTAATATTTGGGGAAACTATACCCTTCATTTCACCAATGGAAGCTTCAATTAAATTATATGAAATAAATCAAATCCAGTACTTGAATATCATGAGACCTGTCCAGCTCACATTCACCAGAAAATTAAGATAATATTTTGTAACATTATTTTAATGACAATTAAGAAAATTATAAGACAATTCGCATTTCTCTAATAATAATAATAATAATAATAATAATAAAATCCTATTAAAATTTAGTATTTATGGTATTATATGTTGTTTGCCTTTTTACCAATTTTATGTTTTCATTTACTTTTTAATACAGTAAATATACTGTAATTACATGACATTTTTGTTGGTAGTATTTGTTTCACTGCCTTTAAAAAAATAATTTTCTTATGGTATTTTTTTTTTAATTCAATACAATAAAAAAAGCACTTCATGTGTTTAATTGTAATTAAAATAATGTCACAATGAAAATTCTTTATGCTTTATGACATTATTTTCATTACAATTAAGAATATTTCCCCCGCAATTCACATTACCATAATCCAAAAAAACAAATCCTATTAAAATTGATTGCATGTGTTGTGTTGCCTTTAAGGAATTTTTTTTTGTTTTCATTTTTAAAAACATTTTCTTCGATTTGTCAACAAAAATACATTATATTACAAATATGTAATGTTTGTCGCAATGCCTTTATGCAGATTTAAATTTAAATAATTTTATTACATTGTCATTTTATTGTAATAAAACAATTACTTGGATTACAAAATGTGCTTAATTGTGATTAAAATAATGCCACAATGAAAAATCATTATGCTCCTAATAAGAGGCTTAATGTTCTTATTTCTTTTGGTTTTACGGTGAATGTGCATGTCTCGCCCACTTGAATTGGGATCTTAGCCATAAATTTACAGCAGGTTGGGAACAAAGAACAAAATCTTAATCTGAAGGTATTCTGAAATGTACCTGATATCATGTATAAATCCACATGAACTATTACCAATGTTAACAGTATTTGGTTTGTATATTTTTAGCATGAATTAATTCTGAATTCGCATGAATGTCAGCTTTTAATGCTTAACAAACTGAAGATGTACAATGTAAGGAGCTCCTGCTGTAAAGGAGAGCAAAGGGGCCAGTCGTTGAACGCATTGAGGGTGAAGTTCACTGCATGGACCCTGCCTGAGCGAGGGTTTTATCTCATGTTGGACTGTCGTTCAATCATCACGCCCATAAAGGTTAAACCAAACACCTGCTAATGAGAATAAAAACATGATGGGCACAAGAAATGACTGCTCTTTTTTTGTGTCTTTGACTGAGGTTAACAATCTTTAGTTTTATTGATATCAACATAAAACCCTATGTTCTGCAATGCATCATACAGTAAACTGTAAAAGTCCTTGTTTTTTTCCAGGGGTATCTTGAATAATTTGTCAAATTATAGATATTAAAGTCTTAAACCCCAAAGTCACAGAACAGATCCTATAGAGAAGTACTTGAAACAATATTTCAAACAGATCTCCATTGATCCAGGAAATGATCCTTAGACGTGTCTCAGTCTGGTTTAGGCCTGTTGTAGTCCAGTTCATAAGTTGGTCTGGATTGGTGGTTTGTCAGAAAGAGGTACGATGGAGCTGATGACGGCGATGTTGGGAATCACCTCCAGAATGGCTCCTTTCTGCTGGTAATACGGGCTCTCGGAGTCCTCGTCCAGAGAAAACGGTGTGATGGACTTTTTTAGTCTCTGAGACAAAAGAAAGAAGCAGGCCTAAATATGTTTTTAATTGACAGGTTCTTTAAGTTCAAACAATCACTACAATCAAAAATAATGTGTTTTTCACTCAGGAATTTCCACAAATAATTATAAAGAAATGGCAAGTAACACATTGAGTTACAATGAAATTTTGAAGTACAAAAACAAAATAATAGTATTTACTCCAATAATCGTTTTTTTTATTTTTCTTCACATTTTTTTTTTAACCTGTACATCAAACGTTTGGGGTCAGTAAGGTTTTTTTTTTTAATTAATAATTTTTTTTAAAGAAATTCTAACTATAAATGAATTCTAAATGACATATATTTAATAATATTCAATACTTAATTTTCATTAAAATATTAATTATTAATAAAAAATGATGTCAGTATTTATCTTAATGAAATGATCTTGGCAAAATTAAAAATAGTTTTGATTGCTGAGTAAATTGCATTTGCAGTTGTTTAGAAATCCTTATGCAAATATGTTTTCTGCATATCAGGGACTAAACAGCTATAATTATTATGCAAAATCAAACTTTTATTCAGCAAGGATGCATTAAATTGATCAAAAGTGACAGTGAAGACATTTATAATGTTACAAAAGATTCTGTTTCAAATAAATGCTGTTCTTTTGATCTTTCTATTCATCAAAGAATCCTGAAAAAAACATGTATCATGTTTTCCACAAAAATATGAGGCAGCACAACTGTTTTCAGCATTGATAATAATCAGAAATGTTTCTTGAGCAGCAAATCAGCATATTAGAATGATTTCTGAAGGATCATGAGACACTGAAGACTGGAGTAATGATGCTGAAAATTCAGCTGTGCATCACAGGAATAAATTACATTTTATAATATTTTCAAATACAAAATAGCTATTTGAAATTGTAATAATATTTCACAATATTACTGTTTTTGCTGTATTTTTGATTAAATAAATGCAGCCTTGGTGAGCAGAAGAGACTTATTTTAAAAGCATTACAGATGTTACTGACCCAAACGTTTGAACAGATGCTTGTATCAATGGTTCCAGTCAATAACCTGACATTTCCCTTCCGAAGCATAAACGGAGAGGCTGTAAAGTACCTCAGTGAAGGATCCGGGCAGAAGCCAGAGCGTGTGCACGGCTGCTAGAGGAATCCAGATGATGGAGGCCAAAGCGATGAGCCATCCGACACCCTGAGCCCACGGCGGGTAAATGTAATCCTCATACCGCGCTGGTTTAAACTGAATCACCGAGAACACCAGGATAACCTGAGAGACACAGAAACACCTTTCAGTTCTAACACCAATCCACGCTGGGGTTTCAGAACAACCACTGTGTCAGAAACGTGTGATCGCACTCACGGTTATCAAAACAGGACAAATGACCCACCAGCAGACCCTGAAGAAAATGCTGGGTCTCTTTCCTGTCATCTCCAGTAAATTACTGGACAGACGCTTTACACCTGTTAAAACAAGAAATATAGCAGTTTTGTTCCATGCTTGATGAAACAGATCAAGAGCTGCACACTGTCGTTTGTCTCTCACCGTAAAGCCAACAAACAGCAACCACCTCAAAAAACGCCAGGAACATGATGGACACTATAGCTGTATAATGATCCATCAGCTGGAACACATAGATCCCCACCTGAGCAGAAAGATGAGCATTGACATTTTCAGGTTCATTAACTTCATCAAAACCTTTTTCATAATCAGTGTTGGGGGTAACGCATTACAAGTAACGCGAGTTACGTAATCAGATTACTTTTTTTCAAGTAATTAGTGAAGTAACGCATTACTTTTTACTTTACAAGAGAATATCTGAGTTACTTTTTCAAGTAAGTAACGCAAGTTACGTTTTTATCTACTTTATTGACTGACAGCTCTCCGGTCCCCATGTTGAGAGAAATCAGATGTTATTGTAGTTCTAAAATAAAACAAGCGAGCCCTGTCCAGATTTTAAAAATAATGCAAAAGTAACGTAACGCATTACTTTCCATAAAAAGTAACTAAGTAACGTAATTAGTTACTTTTTTATGGAGTAATGCAACATTGTAATGCATTACTTTTAAAAGTAACTTTCCCCAACACTGTTCATAATACATACTCGCTTTACAGCCATAAATGCATCTATAATGTTTTTTAATTAATATAATTGAAAAAGAATCATTATTAATAAAGCTCTTTTAAAACATAATTGTGGATAAAATGCATGCAAAAATAAGCAGTGCAAAAATACAGTGGCTCTAAAAAGCATTTAGACACTGAAGTCACACTTAAGATCACTGCATTAGAGAACAAAACATAATTTATTTGAAAGAAATATAGCAATTAAGCCCAAAGACAGTGAAACTTCAAACATGATGGCAAAAACATCAGTGAGGAAAAAAGATCAAATGCAGCATTTGATTGATATTTTCTATGTATTCATATTTTGGTATGTTTTATGAATTATAAATCACGAAAACATGTCCAGGTTCATTTGACTCCGAAATTAAAAAGAAAAAAATATATAAATAATATTTAGCATATAGAAAATAAACCCTGAGCGATCATTGTCTATTTCTTTCTTTCTTTCTTTCTTTCTTTCTTTCTTTCTTAACTTACTTTTTTCAGACATGCAGCATTTGATATTTGGACACTGAAGTCATACTTACGGAAAAAATGCAAAGAAAAAATGTCATTTATTTGAAAAATAAAAAGCAATTAATAAACAAAAAATCTTAGATACAAAATATTTTAAGCTATTTTAATGGTGAGCTAAAAAGAAAATAAAATCTAATAAAAAAAATATAAAATAATATTTACAAATTATATAAAATAATAAAATAAAATAAAATAAAATAAAATAAAATAAAATAAAATAAAATATAAAATAAAATAAAATAAAATGTTCTTGTAACCTGCATGACATTAGGGATGCCCAGCAGGAAGGCCGCACCACAGACTACAAGCACAAGAAACTCCTTGCGTTTGAGGTACTTGAGTATGGGTTTACTGTAGCTGTCCAACAGACTGGTCACCATCACCTCGACCATGGCAAACTACAGAACACAAACACAACAGACGCTAAAGCTTAACAATGTGCTAGCTGTGATTTCTGTGAAATGATTCAAACAGAATTACTCCAGCAAACATTCATGCACATGTTGCTTAATGTTTTATGAGAGTTAGATGAACAGTCAATGAACAGCTCGCATTTCATGAATTATAAATCACAGATGTAACAGTTTTTCATCTTCAGTCATCATATAATCCTCATGAAAACATCTCCAGGTTCATTTGACTCCAAAATGAAAAGAAAAAAATATATAATGAAGATGAATAATAGAAAATGAAGCCTGATAAGGACATTAAGTTTTATTCTTTTTTTATTTTTATTTTTTCTGTAACTCCCATTGTTAAATTATGGGTTTCATTAGATAAAGACTGTACAGCACTACCATGATTTTTATATATTATTACAATTTGTAATAAAAAATAATGCAAAAAAACATTATTTTCTTTAAGCAAAATATAATTTTGCTTGATTTCATGAGCAATGTTTAATCATTTATCTGCTAACAGTGCAAAGTAGCATTTTAGAAAAACAATTAAGATAAAATGAAACTTATCTCTTTGTTATGTATTTACACCTTGACAGTTTTTTGTTTATGAATACAATGATAATGATAAAGTGAACTCACTTTAACATCATATCAGCTAATTTAACACAGGTTGGTCAGACTGCGTCTCATAAATGTTGTGTTAGCCACATTAACCAGGTATGGGTTAGTTAAAATGACAGGTGAGTGTTGTTCTCATCATACCTGACTGTCCAGGCCGAGGCAGAGTAGCATGAAAAAGAAGAGAAAGGCCCACAGAGGAGCAACGGGCATCGTCGCAAAGGCTTGTGGGTAAACCACAAACACTAGACCCGGACCTGCATGGAGAATCATTATGAGACACAGCAGATTTAACAATACTAGTTACGTTCTTTGATGCAAACATTGTTAAAGACAACAAAGTAATAAAATGAACAGTAAAGTAACCCACCGTCCACTGCGATTTCACTGACCGGCACATTCTGAAGGTGCGACATGTAGCCGAATGCGGAAAAAATGACAAATCCGGCGAAAATACTAGTCACGGAATTTGTGATGGAAATGGCCAGAGTATCTCTACAGGAAAAAAAAGTGATGAATATGAGAGGAAAAATCAATGTTAGTGAAAATCTTCATAAGCATGTTATTTCTTTTTGCACATTGAGCCCTGATGACATAACAGTAAATTCACATAAAATGCAAGTCAATATAAATTCATTAGAGCAATAAATTCATTATCATAGTGATCTTTGCTCCAGAGACATGCAATAATTAGAGCGATATTTTATATAACTTTATGTGCATGAAAGTAGATTAGGGATGGTGTGTTGTATGTATGCAACAAGATTTCTTGCTTTTGAAAAAGGTTTTAACTATATATAATACCATAGGTTCTCACTTGAGGATGTTGTTGTTGTAGGAGTTGTAGCTGGCCATCGCCATCAGCGAGCCGAAGCCAATCCCAATGGAGTTAAAGATTTGAGCTGCTGCATTAATCCATACCTTACACAACACACACACATTACACAACATTAATCTAAAACACAGGCCAAACAATGTACTGTACAACCGAATGACAATCAATCAATTCTCTCCTAGCTGTCAATTCAGTTTTTACTAGGGCTACCACATTTAACATGTTCATTTACAGTGTTTATTAAATACGGATAATGGCAGGAGTCACAGCATAAATTATTTTGCATGCATTTGTTTTCTTTCCTTCAAAGAATAGCAAATGCACCGCAATTTTGAATGTCAAACTAAACAGATTACCTACAAAAAACCTAATATTTCAATGATAGATTATTTGAATACATTACCAGGCCTGTTTCTCATTTATCTCAGTCTTCTCGTACCCACCTCCACATTGAGCAGCTTGTCCCACTCGGGTATGATGAAGAATCGGATGCCGTCTATGGCTCCCGGCAGCTGCACGTTATTGATCAGCAGAGCCAGAAGAATCACGTATGGAAACAGAGCTGTGAAGTAAACCACCTGTGACGCACAGACAAAGATCAACTTACAATAAATGTACATTTGAGGAAAAAAACATCATTAAATAATAAAAAAAAAAATCGGAATATTACAAAATATAACAATAATTTTATTAGAAACTATTATTTTTCATAACTAAAAATCTGAGGATAATTAATGTTTTTTGGAGTGTGACAAGATTTTCATGACAGTTAAGCACATTTCGACCGTTGTTATTATTATGCTTATTTAAATCTGCATAAATAAAAGGTTATACAACACATACTACCATGATGTATAAATACATTAGGCCTACCATTTAAAAAAAAAAAGTAATATATTTTATGAGTTCATGAGAACTGTGTGCAGTAATGATGGTTTAATTGTAATTATAAAAACAATGTAATTCAACAAATATTAGTGTAGTGCATGAAGATGACTGATGCATTCTATTTGAACTTGCAATAAATGCACATATTAATTAGCATGGTTTTAAGTACATGATGCCGTGGTAATACCGTGGTGTTCTTTGAAACACCTTGGAATAACACATAAATGTAAGAATCTTACAAAAATAAAAAAAAGGTTTGCGTGACATTTCAGCCAAAATAAAGAAAATAAAATTATTTTGCATTTATATTTTGCATGAATAATAAAATATTTTTTATTAACTAAATATATAGTTCAGTCATGAAACTCTAGATGGCGCATTCTGACGGGGTGTTAACGTAACTGATGATATTCAGAGAGTTAAACGACTTGGCACAAGCTGATTGGTTCATGCTGCATATGCAGCCAATGAGCTTACTACCTTGCATTTATATGGCTGGCTAGCATTCACTAGAGATTCCTGCAGCGCGCTTTCAGAGTTCTCTGAAACCCTCCACCTTCCCCGGCTCCACCTGTATAGATCTGCTACGGGGTTATTTTATATGCTATTTGTGCAGCAGCAGCATGTCTTAAATACTCACGGCACCGTATCGCCATATGCATTGGCAGTAGCAAGTTCCTGTACTTGCTTGCAGCAGCAGCAATAATCTACAACTACAGCAATAACCAACAGCAGCAGCGTAGCAGATCTGTTCCGCCAAGACCAAATGCATTAACATTGTCATATCCATCACCATGCTAAAATGTTCCAAGAGTTGTCATGATTGAACTACTTTTTTTGCTGTTTTGTAATGTCTGATTTGTTTATCACTTGTTTATCACACTCTGATTTGTTTTCCCCCCCACACTGAAACAAAAATGGAGTAGAATTTTCTTTAAAACAATAAATTTTCAATTTTCAGAGATTGCTAGTAAACTTGACAAATAATTTCAAAGAAACGACAAGAATTAAACATGAAATTCTCAAATAGAAATACTTAAGTGGTATTTTGTAGACTTTGACCAGTGAGATGCTGACTGATGTTCTTCATCTGTTCACGTCTTACCTTCCCAGTGGATTTGACTCCTTGAAAGATGCAGAGATAGACGAGGATCCAGGCCAGCAGCAGCAGGAGGAAGAGCTCCCACCTCAAGCTGCCCGTCTCCTCCACACCACTGGTCCTCTCCAGCACCTTATAACTAACACAGCCGACACATCCACTGCGGTCAATATGACAAACTTCACTAACAAATCAAAACTTAAAGCTACACTATGTAACTAGTTACTTGCGGAGGAACATTGTTAGCATGATAACATATGGTCAGCAATTGCGTGAGTAGTGCTTCGGCTACGCTATTCTGCGCGGATGAATCTGAAGTCTTGTGCGACATCAAAACTCTCGAAAAAAAGACGAATATCTGAAAAATGTTTTATGTTATGACCAGGTAAGTAGCTTATATGCCACTGTTGTTTTGACTTGTTAAAAACAATTGTTTTAAAATAACGTTAGAAAAGTCTGGCGAAGCTGACTTTAAACATAACCAAGGAGTAACTGGCTTGGAGATTGGCAACATTGTTTTGTGAAAATAGTCCATGCATCCAATATGCTAACTATGTTGATGCGTGTTTTATTACGTGTGCTTCCCCGTCTTGTAACTTCAAGCTACTATAGTCGCCTGCCCTTCTTTCCTTTATTTACGGATGTGACATAAACACACAAGGATGAATGACGTATGTATGCGGTTTCCCGGGAAATCCGTCCCGACAGCTCTAAAACATAAGTATAAGTTTACTATATTAATTTAATGTAAGACCAAGTACGTTTTGGAAGATGGTGTTACCCCAGCTAACAGGGAATGTTCTCAGAACTTTGGCTAACATTCTGTCAAGATTTCTTTCAAAATTATGAATAAACATTCTTCCAAGTAATGTAAATAGAACGCTGAAGTTATCTCGTCTTTAATAACATGCTCAAAATGTTAGCACTAAAACATTGTTATCGTTCATGGAGCCTTTTTCTGAATATTTTAGTTGGATGTTTTTCTAACTTTTTTTTTTTTTTTAAACATTAATAGAAGTTCCATGTTTCTCAGAGAATATTCAGAAGTAACATTCCCATAATGTGTACAAATGGAATGTTCCCTTAAAATGTTTACATAGCCAATAAAACGTTTTTTAAACATTCAAAACACTGGACATTTTAAAGGGGTCATATGATGTTGCTAAAAAGAACATTATTTTGTGTATTTGGTGTAATGAAATGTGTTTATGCGGTTTAAGGTTAAAAAAACACATTATTTTCCACATACTGTACATTATTGTTTCTCCTCTATTTTTACAAAGCTCATTGGTCTGAAAAAGCAAGGAAAGGAAAAATTGAAATCGCATCATATGACCCCTTTAAATGTTCAGAGAACATTCAGAGATAACATTTAGATAACTTAATGGGAACATTAGCAAAACGTTCTTGGAACATACGTTTGTTAGCTGGCATGATGTACTCGCTCATTATTTAAATGCTAATTTCGAACAAAAAAAAAGTTACACAGTGTAGCTTTAACAAGAAAAGCGTATGAACACACTTGAAGAACTGCTGGCTGGCGGTGGAGGACGAGGAGCTGTTGGTCACACGGTCGGTGCAGTTGGCCGTGTTCCATGTGTTGTTGCAGTTTTCCCAGAGCAGCTCGCTCCGAAAAGAGCTGAACATGTAGTACAGCGCCCATGTGATAATGACATTATAGTATGTGCACATGATGAAAGAGATGGCCACCGTTGCCATGCCAACACCTGGATAGATTTATTACAGGTTACTGACCTTTAGCCAGACGTTGAGTCCGTAATATATTTACATTTACATTTACATTTAATCATTTAGCAGACGCTTTAATCCAAAGCAGCTTACAGATGAGGAGAACAATAGAAGCAATCAGACCAACAAGAGAGCAACAGTATACAAGTGCTGTGACAAGTCTCAGTTAGTCTAGCACAGTACACATAGCAAGGTGTTTTTTTATTTTAAATTAATAAGAGCGAATAGAATAGAATAGTAATATATTCCCATATCATCTAATCATTATCAGCGACAATGATATTGCATCTATATAGATCTGAAAGTCTGTATACAGCATTAAACTGCATTAAACTTGAAATTTTCTGTGCTCTCTAACCTTTCAGCAGGGGACAGGCTTTGGTCAGGGCCAGGACGGGGCCCCTCCTCAGATACTGGCCCAGCGTCAGCTCCATGTGCAGCAGCGGGATCCCCAGCACCACCAGCATCAGCAGGTAAGGCACCAGAAACGCACCTGAGGATGACAATAAACACATCAACATTTAACTGAGAGATGCACAGATGACCACAAGTTTGGAAAATAAGTGTGTTCATTCAAGTTCACTTGATGTATGATATACCGCACATTCCTTTATACTATAATTAAACCAGGAAACAGGAAATAATCATATGACATCTAAATAATATATTTAAAAATCCTGAATTTTTAAACGTAAATTGTGCATTTAAAAGTGTAAATACAAATATATAGTAATAATTTTGAATATAGAAATGTAAATTGTGAAAACATACTGTAAATGTAAATCAGAATATATAGTTGTAACTCTAAATATATAAATGTTAATCTAAATGTATAGTTACAATTATGAAAATATAAATGTAAATTGTAAATATATAAATCTAAATCCAAATTTATAGTTGTAACTAAATATGTAATCCGAATATGTAGCTATATATATATATATATATATATATATATATATATATATAAATGTTAATTATGGATGTAAGTTATGCTCATTATAACTCATGATTATAGGAATGTAAATTGTGATTTTAAAAATGTAAATACAAATATATAGTTATATCGCTCATGCAAATCTGAATATATACATGTAAACGGAATATAGTTATAATTCTGAATATATAAATGGAAATTGATATTATATAAATGTAAATCTATATATAGTTATAACTCTAAATATAAAAATGTAAATCAGAATATATAGTTAGAAGAATTCTGAATATATAAATGAAAATTATTAATATTTTATAACTGATTATGTAAATGTAAATGGTGAATTCAAAAATTAAAATACAAACACACCATTATAACTCTAAATATACAGATGCAAAACTGAATACATCAGTGTCGCAATATGTATATTTCTAATGTACTTGAAAATTTTGAATATATAAATGTAAACCTGAATATATGGTTATAATTCTGAATGTATAAGTGTAAATTGTAAATATATAAATGTAAATCTGAATATGTGATCTGAGATGGACTGCAGAGTCATGGTTGATCTTACGCACTGTTACAGTTACAGATAAACTCATTTATCCACTGTCATTCACGTGTGGACATATGATCTAACTTTTACAGTCTAAAAGGTAAAGGTGAAATTGTTAAATAACAACAGAAGATAACAGACTCAAATTCATATGCATGCATGCATAATGCCAGTTTTCACAGCAAAAGTCCAATGAAAGTTGTAATACAATGGTACATGAGTCATGGGAGAAAAACACCTTTAAACCAGATTCATAGCATTAGTTAACATTAGTCAGGAACATTAGCTAACCAGTCTGTGTCTTACCTCCACCGCTCCTGTAGCACAGGTACGGGAACCTCCAGATATTCCCCAAGCCCACAGCGCAGCCGATCCCAGCCAGAGTGAACTCTATCTGCCTGCTCCATGTGGGTCTGCAGGCCTCCTCTTCCTCCGCCATGCTTCTTCAGAGAGACTGAGTGGTGTGAAAGCAAACTGAGATTACGAGAGTAAGTGGTGTTGGTGGTGTAATGATTGTTCAGGAGCTGTAATGATTAGCTGGCAGGCGTGGGACAGGCAAACTTCTGTTGATGCCGTTTACTGCTTTTTCGGGCAATTACCAGAATTAGGGTAACCAGTCAAAATAAAAGATTATAGTTAGATTTATTTCAAATACGTAGAGCGCATATATTTCAACAAGGCATTTTAGTACAAATGCACATTAAACTTCAGCTTTGAAAACACAGTATGACAATGAACTTAAACTGAAATGAAAGTGAAAGTTTTGCTCATACAAACATGACATATTTAACAAGTACAAAGGTTTAAGGCAACTTTTAAAGTTTTGTCAACATGTATTTTCCCAACTAAAACAATTTTATTTTAATTGAATTTAAATAAAATTTATGTTAATTTAAAATATGGGAAATCTTCAGTAAATGTTTTTAGTTAGTTGCCAAGGCAACAGCTTTTAATTTAGTTTAATTTCTAAAATTAATAAAGCTAAAACTGAAAATAACTAAAATTGAAAAAATATCTAAATAGACATAAAAAACTAAATAAAAAAACACACAAAAGGACGAAAACCAAAATAATAAGAACAAATTCACTATATAATGAAAAATCTAAACATAAAAACGAATTAAGCTTATGTTGATACTGTTTACTGCATTTGACATAATGAATTTTCCCAACCAAATCTATCACATTAACTTAAATAAAATAAATGCTAAATGTAATTAAAACATTAAAAAAAAAAAATCTAATTCAAGTTGAAGCACTAAAAGGACTAAAACTAAAATAAAAATAATAAAAACGAAATAGACGTATTGTTTTTTTTTTCATATTTGATATATTAAAAACAGTAAAGCTGGCAAAAAATTTAACTAAAATTAAAACATATTTAAAATGTAAATGAATACTATATTACTAATGATACTAAAATATAATATATTTTTTATTTTCCCACAAGGAATTTGTCAGGAACTGGTGACATTAGTAATAATAGTTTCAGCTACATGACTGTATATTTAGGTTAGCAGTAAAACCCATATTTCTTGACCTCTAATATAAATGCTGGGAACCATCAGAGCATCTCAAGTGGACCGTAGGTTTCCTGAGATTGGGCCCTACAGGAACAGACAGAAAGCAGCCAACTACTTGTGAAATATTTTTATTTCTATTAAAAAGGTAAAATAAACACAAGAAAAAGGCAAGAGAGGTTTCGAAGGGTCTTACACAGTGTGATGCAACTAACCACTCTAAAAGAGATTTCATCTTCCTTGTCATTTTGACCAAACTTCATCACAGACATGTTGAGTTTCAGAATTGCACTCTGCATATAAATCTCATTTTGACAGAGCAGTGGTTGTCATTCAGTTTCCCAGTAGCTGTTATCTGCCCACAGTCCTCTCCTCCCTCTCCCATATTATGTTCTGTCCAGTCATCCGGCTGCCCAGGATTCCAGCGTCTGAAACAGTGCCAACAAATATTGCACTATTACATCTGCGTGCATATAGAGCACCTTTCTGGCATCCCATCTAAAGTTCAGTTTATGTTATGCATTTGATCCCAACACTACCAGCAACAATTTAAACAACTGAAATATTTGTTTAATGCAAGATGCATTTACTTGACAAATACATTGTCTTGATGTAGCTGCTTTCTTTCCTATTTATATCTGCAATCATCGAGAAGAAAAACAACAACCACAAATGCCAAATATTAAAGAACACATCCTGTGAAATGGAAATTGAAAACTATGTGACCATTATATTAGGCCATACTTATGAATAGAATAAACATGTAAATGTAGCGCCATCCTAAGGCCAAAATTTGTACATAACCTCATGGAGGAATAAATACACTTGTGGTCAAAAGTTTGGAATAATTGAGATTTTTGTTTCTGAAAGAAGTCTCATCTGCTCACCGTCAAAAATACAGTAAAAAAGAGCAAGATTGTGAAATATTATTATTTCAAATAACTGTTTGAATATTTTGTAAAGCATATTATTTCTGTGATCAAAGCTGATTCTTGTCATTACTCCAGTCTTCAGTGTCACATGATCCTTCAGAAATCATTCTAATATGCTGATTTTTATTCATGATTCTTTGATTAATAAAAGGTTAAAAATAATAGCATTTATTTGAAACAGGATCTTTTGTAACATTATAAATGACATTACTGTCAATTCAGATCAATTTAATGCATCCTTGCTGAATAAAAGTATTAGTATTACTATTTTTAAGCTACCCCAAAATTTTGGGGTAACAGCTTTCACAAAAAATATTGGGCAGCACAGCTGTTTTCAGCATTGATAATAATAATCAGAAATGTTTCTTGAGCAGCAGATCAGCATATTATACTGATTTCTGAAGATCATGTGACACTGAAGACTGGAGTAATGATGCTGAAAATTCAGCTTTGATCACAGAAATACATTACATTTTATAGTATGCTATTATTGTAATAATGTCACAATATTAATGTTTTTACTGTATTTTTGATCAAATAAATGCATCCTCAGTGAACACGAGAGACTTCTTTTAAAAACATTAACATTGACAGCCAGTGCATATTATTCAAAGGTAAATTATTATAGTGCATGTTTGCTCAGAAATGCGAGTTGTTGTGAATCACGCGTGATCGTTTATAATAAATCAGCTCACTCTTTATTCATAATGTAAGGAGTTTCATCCGCCCATCTCCACTGGCCTGTGGTCTGATCCGTTAGACCCACCCAGTAGCTTGTGGGTATGGTTTGATTGTTCAGAAAGGCCTAGGGGGGGAAATAAGAAATGAGAAAGAGGGAAAAGTATGAAAAGCAAATATTATATTATGTGTGTAAATATTACACACCCACTCCTCATCGTCCTCTTGTATTTTCAGGAGTAGCGCGCCCTGCGCTTTGCAGTAATCTCTGGCCCCAGACCAGTTGAGTTGATCACTAGAGAACAAGAAACAGCTGCTTTTGTACAAGATCCAGCCACGTTTACAGTTGGCCACAGAGACGTCTGCGTCTGAGAGAGAGAAAACATGCCAAATGTGAGAGGTACGAAAGAAAGGAGAGAATATACACAAAAATGATTGATAAGTCACGGCAACATATGCTTTTTCATTATTTCAACTAATCAATATCATTTTAACATTCTTTTTTAAGTTATATGAGATTTTTTTTTATGTCAGTTTAATATTATTTAAATGAACTGGAAAAAAATTAATGACAGCCAATTTGATTATACTTAAAGCACATGTAATCATGTCAATTAGTGCTAAATACCTGCTTTTTTGGCGCTCGTATTAGTTATCAGCTCCTTCAGAGCGTTCATGACTCTTTCCTCTGATTGAACACAACAAGAAAACACATCAGTCATACAGTGTCCTGTGAATTCAATTTCAATCTAATTAATTCAATGTAAAAAATAATTTCAGCCTTAAAGCAGCACTATGTAACTTTTGGCGCTCTAGCAGTTAATAAACAGAACTGCACACATCCCGCAGAAGAACATTCCAACCGGAGCTACTTCTCTAAGTTTATGTCTATGGCGATTCACGCAGGTATGTGTTACTCCGCAGCGGTGACGACCCGACCATGATGCTTGGTAAATATTAAACAAGGATTAGATCGCACAGTAATGTGTAAAAACAATCATCAGGCCTTTGGCACCCCCTACAGGCCTTTGTTGTAATGCGTGATGTACATTAGCGCTATTGTTTATAATACATTATGTATTTTAACAGTTTTGATCAATAAAACCATTTGATTTCTTGCTTTTGATACTTTATTTGAACTAATTATCATTGCCTCATTGCTATTATATATGTATTTTAAGTAATTTGAAAGGCTATTGTTCACTTACATCTGTTTTATTACCAGAAAAAAAAAAAAAAAAAAAAT